ACCAAACTATCCTCTCCTTCCTTCCTCTTCTCTTCCTCCTCTTCTCCTTTCCTCTTCTCTTCCTCCTCTTCTCTTTTCCTCTTTCCTTCCTCCTCTTCTCCTTTTCCCTCTTCCTCTTCTCTCCTTTCCCTCTTCCCTTCTCCTTCTCTTTCCTCTTCCCTTCTCCTCTTCTCCTCCCTACTTCCTATTAACACTCAAACTCTCAAAAAAATCCCACCAAGATATATTTTATCACAGACCTCTAGGTTGAATGCCGGCTACACACAGGTCATCGTTCAGGCCTCTATCCAAGCCATTAGACCGAGTGATTAAGTCATTAGTACCAGCAATGTGACCAAACAGTCCTCTAGAACAATATGTCTCTTCGCCAGTGTCATAAACCATCGCTATAGCAAACAGAGCAGGCGAAGATTACGTCTGCGAACATTAGCTTCTTCTAAGTGGTGGTATTTCAGGAGTTCAGACTTAGGTGATTGTTCGTATTGGAGAAACAGTTTAATTTATTGTTTATGTATAACTTGTGTGTGAAGGGTTGTAGGGGTTGTGTGAGAGGTTGTGAGGGGTTGTGAGAGGGTTGTGGGGGTTGTAGGAGGTATTAACCACATTAGACCACACACACACACACACACACACACACACACACACACACACACACACAACACGAGGCAGCAGCAGATGAGACAAGATTAACGGGTGAAAAGTGTCAAAATTACAGGCCTGATCATTACGCTTCACCTCCCGGGACACAGTACAGAATGGCCAGGCTGTTACATCATCCCCTCACACTCATATCCTACCCCTCTCTCTCACCCCCTCTCTCTCACCCCTCTCTCACCCTCTCTCTCACCCCTCTCTCACCCCTCTCTCACCCCCTCTCTCCACCCCTCTCTCTCCCCTCTCTCACCCCTCTCACCACCCTCTCACCCCTCCTCTCCCTCCTCTCACCCCCTCTCTCACCTCCTTTCTCTCACCCCTCTCTCACCACCCCTCTCTCTCACCCCTCTCTCTCACCCCTCTCTCACCACCCCTCTCTCACCCCCTCTCTCTCCTCCTTCCTCCCACCCTCAGAATCCCTCTTCCTCCCACACACCTTCCCACATTCAACCTCCCTCCCACAACTCCCCTACACCTTCCTTCCTCCCCAACACCCCCCCCTCCCCCCACACATCCCATCCCTTCAAAACACCCCTCCCCTCACCCCCCTTTACAGGATACTTACCAAATTACATGACATTAGAGAGAATAAGGCCAGGTATTGTTCCGTTAATTACCTGTTATTAAATTGCAATTGGTGAGCTCAGGTGTCGTGAATTTGACCTCCCTCGCACGCGTCGGACATTATTACAGATGAGCAAATTTTAATAGCTCTAGGTTTTCTCTCGATCGATTTAATTTTTAGGGAAAGGAAAGTAGAGTTGTTGTTTTTTTTTTAATTGTTTTTTTTTAGTTTTTTTTTTAGTAAT